ACACAGCATATTATTTGAGAACACAGAAATGCTGGACCACACCAACAACCACCATGTCAGACTACACAGAGAAGCCATTGAAATCCACAAGCATGTGGACAATTTCAACAGAAAGGAGGAAACCATGAAAATGACCAAAATCTGGCTACCTGCATTAAACAAAACTCTACAATTACAACAGCAAAACAACAAAGAGGAAACAATCTGGGACACCTAATCACCTCTCAACAAAAGATTGCCCCAGGCACTGCCAGGCCATCAAATGCTAATCAAGGTGGTCAGCTGAAACATTCACACCTAGCTCCAGCAGACATGAGTTCTTTGTTCCACCCTGGTCATTCCACAGATATATAAACCCACTTTCCTAGTTCCAACAGATCTCACTACCTCTGAGGATGCTTGCCATAGATGCAGGTGAAACGGCAGGAGAGAATGCCTCTAGAACATGGCCATATAGCCAAAAAAAACCTACAACAACCCAGTGATTCCAGCCATGAAAGCCTTCGACAATACAATGATACACTTATTTTTTTAAAATTTTTAAATCTCATAACTCTTAACTCTAAATAATAATAATAATAATAATAATAATAATAATAATAAACTTTATTTATACCCCACCACCATCTCCCCCAACAGGGACTCGGGGCGGCTTATATGAGGCCTTATATGCTTGTATGGGACTATGCCCCTCTTCACTCGAACTGGTCACTGACCATAATAAAGGGAACTTGACTAACTACCTCTAGGAAGGAAAATTCACTTCTGAAAGCATTATCACAGGAAAAAAGGTGCCTCCACTGAAGCTTTATCGCCAATACTTGTTTCCACAACAAGCCATTTTTTTTCAAAATCTACACAAGGTCTATACTTTAATGTCTGGCCTAAATACAGATGCTCTTCCCAGAGTAGACCTGCTAAATGGTAAGGCAAAACCTTTATGTCAGTGGTTCTCAACCTGTGGGTCCCCAGGTGTTTCGGCCTACAACTCCCAGAAATCCCAGCCAGTTTACCAGCTGTTAGGATTTCTGGGAGTTGAAGGTCAAAACATCTGGGGACCCACAGGTTGAGAACCACTGCTGTATGGAATTCAACTGATTCAATGAATCTACTTTAGTTGGGACAAGCAGCTGGACTTAGGACCATTTTCCCTGTTCATCTTTCTCTTGAGAAAAATGGGATAGATCAGTCATTTCCAATCTGGTGTCTTCCAGATATGAAGTGCTATAACACTCCCCCTCACCCCCAATTATTCCCAGTGAGCATGAGAGTGGTAAACAAAAATATCTGGAGGGTACCTGGTTGGGAAGGGATGCTTAGGAGAGCTTTGTAGGACCTAGGTGCATGACATAATGGCAAGAAAAGAATAAGCATGCCATTGTCTGGTCTGTCACTAGGCAACTATCAAGATACATCCACACCCTCCATAAATAGAAAACATTTGTGCTTCTTGGTTTCATCCCTAGGAAACTTCTCTACTCTAGGCACACCCAAAAGACAGATTCAGGAAACTGGCCTCAGCACAACAGGATCCTCCCTCTCATGCAATTTCAGTCCAAGTGTCAAAAGATGAACCTGTATGTCCAAGCAGCTACCTTTGGTGACTTCACTTTGGCAATTATGTTGTCTAAGTCCAGGATATCTGCTACTCTCCCATAATTGATTTGGGAAAATCAGAGACCCAGGCTAACATTCTGCCACAATGATGAACTTCCAGACAGAATATCTAGGCAGTGATTCTCAACCTGTGGGTCCCCAGATGTTTTAATCTTTAATTCCCAGAAATCCTAACAGCTGGTAAGCTAGCTAAGATTTCTGAAAGTTGTAGGCCAAAACACCTGGAGACTTACAGGTTGAGAACCACTGATCTAGGGTCTTGGGGCTGAACTGTCACAGAATATCTCACTAAATCCTCAAATAAAAACCCTGTGGCTTAGGAAAATTACTGTTTTAGACTGTTTTGGACTACAACTCCAGATACTGCCAGAAAGTCAAAGTGGATGTATCAATAGGGGTATTTGGCCTGCATCAATAGGAGTATAGTGTTTAGATCCAGGGAGGTCATGCTTCCCCTCTATTCTGCCTTGGTTAGACCACACCTGGAATACTGTGTCCAATTCTGGGCACCACAATTCAAGAGAGATATTGACAAGCTGGAATGTGTCCAGAGGAGGGCGACTAAAATGATCAAGCGTCTGGAGAACAAGCCCTATGAGGAGTGGATTAAAGAGCTGGGCATGTTTAGCCTGAAGAAGAGAAGACTGAGAGGAGATATGATAGCCATATATAAATTCGTGAGAGGAAGTCATATGGAGGAGGGAGTGAACTTGTTTTTGCTGCTCTGGAGACTAGGACGTGGAACAATGGCTTCAAATTACAAGAAAGGAGATTCCATCTAAACATTAGGAAGAACTTCCTGACTGGGAGAGCCGTTCAGCAGTGGAACTCTCTGCCCTGGAGTGTGGTGGAGGCTCCTTCTTTGGAAGCTTTTAAACAGAGGCCGGATGGCCATCTGTCGGGGGTGCTTTTAATGTGATTTTCCTGCTTCTTGGCAGGGGGTTGGACTGGATGGCCCATGAGGTCTCTTCCAACTCTATGACTATGATTCTGTTCTATGGATGAAGGAAAAAAGAAGATGAGGGTTTTTTTTTTTTTTTAGTTTTGCAAAATCCTCTCAACAATTCCTCACAGCCATCTCTGAGGCCCCTTCTGGGTGAGAAGGGCAGCATATAAATGTCATAAATAAATTGAAGCAATATGTGAAAATAAACAGACCTTTTTCCGAAACATAAATGAATCTCTAACATACTTGCCTGGGAATAGACAAGAGTCAAAATTGATTTATCTGATGTTGGTGTCACCTGGAAGCATTGGGGTTCCCACATCAACTAGCACAGAGTCCCTCTACCTGCCATTGATATAAATTTATAGTAGGGCAGACTAACTATCAAGGCTTGTAAATGTTACTTTTCCAGATCACAGACCTCATAATCTCTCAATCACTGCTTGGATTTCCAACCCTTTCCAACCCCCAACAATGGGGACCCGCAGGCTGAGAACCACTGCCTAGATCAGGGGTCCTCAAACTAAGGCCCGGGGGCCAGATGCGGCCCTCCTAGGTCATTTACCCGGCCCTCGCTCAGGGTCAACCTAAGTCTAAAATGACTTAAAAGCACACAACAACAACCCTATCTCATCAGCCAAAAACAGGTCCACACTTCCCATTGAAATACTAATAAGTTTATATTTGTTAAAATTGTTCTTCATTTTAATTATTGTATTGTTTTAAAGTGTTTTTGCACTACAAATAAGATATGTGCAGTGTGCATAGGAATTCATTCATGTTTTTTTCAAATTATAATCTGGCCCTCCAACAGTTTGAGGGACTGTGACCTGGCCCTCTGTTTAAAAAGTTTGAGGAGCCCTGGCCTAGATATTCTGTCTGCAGGTTCATCATTGTGGCAGAATGTTAGCCTGGGTCTCTGATTTTCCATAAAAATCAATTATGGGAGAGCAGCAGATATCCAGGACAAGCCACTCCTTTCTCTATGTTCAGCTGGCTATCAACACTTTTACGCAAATAAGTATATGAACACATTCACGCAAATATGTCTGATATGTATCACTGACTCCATTTGTTGATTTTAACTTCGTTGACTAGCAGTTTACTACCAGCTTTGGCTGATATCCCAGCTGCACCTCTTCCTAGAATCAGAGGACCTAAAGATGGTAGTGCACATGCTGGTAACCTCAACGTTGGACTTAGGCAACGTGCTTTACATTGGATGGCCTCTGTACCAAATTTGGAAAGTCTAATTCATTCAAAACATGGCAGTCACCTCTCGCAATGAATATATCATCCCTACACTAGAGTGACTCTACTGGCTGCCAATTAGTTTCCTGGCAAAATATACAAAGTGTTGATTTTGACTACATGGTTTGGATCCATTTTACCTACAAGGTCACTTTCTCCCATATAACCTGCCCCCAGACACAGAAGTCCAACTAGCCAGAACCTGATTGGCAACGATCACGCAGGGCATCTTTTAATCGGTTGCCCCGAGACTGTGGAATGATTTGCCAGAAGAGATTCAACAGTTAAATCAACTGCTGGAATTTATGACACAACTGTAGACCCATCTCTTCCAGCAGGCCTAATCTGTCAATTGTAACGTGTGAATTTTAACCTGTATTATCAGTGAATTTTAATCTGCATGACCTTTGAATCAGTTGCCCCCAAGACTGTGGAAGAATCTGCTGGAAGAGGTTCAATATCTAAATCAGCTGTTGGAATTTACGACACAACTGAAGACTTATCTCTTCCGGCAGGCCTACTCAGGCAATTTTAACCTGTATTTTATCAATTAATTTTAATCTGCATTTTTACCTGTGTATATGTCATATGCATTTTAAAAGTGCCTTGATTTATCTCATTGTTTTAACCATGTTGTACCCTGCCTCAAGCAGCAAGGAGAGGCAAGTAATTAATAAATGGTGATAATGATGGTGATCACATTCAGGATCTCCTAGTTGTGAACTCCACAATCTACATAAAGAATATAACCCACTAAAACAGTGGTTCTCAACTTGTGGGTCCCCAGGTGTTTTGGCCTACAACTCCCAGAAATCCCAGCCAGTTTAGCAACTGTTAGGATTTTTGGGAATTGAAGGCCAAAACATCTGGGGACCCACAGGTTGAGAATCACTGCAATAAAACATAGTCATTATTATTACAGGATTTGCACAGCACCATCTTGTGATCCCCACTGAAATGCATAGGGCTTCAATAGAAGCAGGTATTTGAAAAATGACATGCTGTCTCCTTTGGATGACTTTCTTATTCATCTGTAACCACTAAGCCTCAGTTCAGGCTGGAATATGAACTTACCATGTTGCATGTAGAGAGAATGAATACAGATAGTAAATAATTTATTCACACCAAAATGAATGCCATGTAAAAACAGTTAACCTAAAGGAAAGAGAGAGAAAAAGCAACTCACACAGGGATGCTGATGCAAGAGCCATTGTTGACAAGTAGGAAGCCAGAAGGGAAGGAGGTGACATTGAACCTTTTCACTAGCTCTTCATTGGTCTGCAAGACTCGCCGTATCGCAATATTCTCAAACTGAAGCATATCCAAAGTCACCTAAGATAAGATTTTGCATTAGTTACTGTTAGTGTTCAACTTTTATGGCTGACTGTTACAAGCCACATCAATCTTCTTCTCCAACTCCTCATCTCAAAATCTGTTATTTCCCCAAAGTACCTTTCCCAACACTCCCATCTATTCTGTTAACTATCCCTGATGCACTCCTCCCATCTTTCAGTCTTTTTCTACTAGCGCCTTCACTGTCTCCATTTTATTTAGGTGCCATTTCCACTGCCATCTCCTTCCATATGAACACTGAAATTGCCAGTAACTTGGTGGGACATTTGCAAAGTACAGTCTTGATTAATTCAACCATCATGAATTCCAACCAAGCAGAGCATCTGATTATGTTCAGAGGCTTCATGCATAGTCTTTTCTTGGAGGATGCTCAAGTCTTTTCTTGGAGGATGGCTCTTGCTCCATCCACTGGGTGTTCATGGGTTAGAAGGGTGATTTGGACAGAAAAGGGGCTGAGACCTGAATAGCACTTGAGTAAATACCTGTGCTCTGCTAGAGTGATGAATTTTCTCTAAGACAGAGCCTTACAAACTGTGTGTCACGACATATATCATACATACTTGAGTATAAGCAGACATGAATATAAGCAGAGGGTTGGATTTTTACCACAAAACTGGGACAACTTATTGACTCGTGTATCAGCTGAGGGTGGGAAATGCAGCAGCTACTGGTAAAGTTCAACAAATTTACCTGTAGATGAGGAGGAGAAGGTGAAGAAGGCCGGGGGGGGGGGGGGGGGGCCGAGAGCTAAGCTGCTGCCAGGCCCGTAGCCAGGATTTTGATTCGGGGGGGGGGCTGCGTTTGATTCGGGGGGGGGGGGGGGGGGGGGGGGAGGCTGAGTCTGAGTGAAAGAGGGTCTACCCTAGCAAACCTTTTGTATCATTACCCCAATGCATATGGGATATATTGAGCATGGTGATCAGATCATGATATGAATAAACATAACAGTTTAAATAATGTACCAGTAAGGCCTTCTCGCGGACCACCATGAGAATTTCAGGGGGGGGGGGGCAGGCTGAAGCCCCCAAAGACCCCCCCTCCCCCGGCTACATGCCTGGCTGCTGCTGCTTCTCTTGCGGTGATGCTGCTGGCGGCGGGCAGGGGAGGGACTTTAGGAGCCTGCCTGGCATCCTCCTCTTCGGAAGCAGTGGTGGCTGCGCAGCTGGAGGCTGAGCATCATCCTCTACCTCTCTTCCTACTCTTCCTGCAGCTGTGACACTGCCACTGCTTTGTCCTCTTCCTCCTCTTCCAAAGGAAGAAGGAGAAGACTAGGATGACACTCAGCCTGCAAGTTGTGCCACTGCTGCCGCCACTTTGGAAGAGGAGGAAGGAAAGGAAGAGGATGAAGCTCAGTCCGCAGCCCTGCCGCTGCCAAAGAGGAGGAAGAGGACGAAGCATTGGTGGTAGTGGCGGCGGCGGCACAGCTGTGGGAAGAGGAGGAAGGGGATGACGCTCAGCCTGCAGCCGTGTCACCACCATTTTTGGAAGAGGAGGAAGGAGAAGAGGAGGAGGACAGTGGGTGGACTCCTAAAGTCCCTCCCCTGCCCATCCGCTGCCACTGTCAGCAGCAGCAGCACGGGAGAAGCAGCAGTAGCATCCTTCCTCCTCTCGGCTGCCCCCCAGCTTTCCTTGGCTCCTCCTCTTCCTCCTTTGCAGGCAAAATCCTCTGCTCGTCCTCCCCTTGATTCGAGTATGTCAAGGAAGGTTTTTTTCAGTCCAAAAAAAGGGCTGAAAAACTTGGCTTATATTTGAGTATATACGGTGAGTGTGTGATAAGGTGTAGGTATTATGTAAATGCAGCGAGAAACCCTTGAATCTAAACGAAATAAATAATAAATCATATATTTTTAAAAATATAAATGAAAGGTTTTCTTGCTAAATATTTTGTCATTATTACAATTTATGTACCAATGAATGCCCTTATATATGCCCCTTATCTCTTATAAGGGGTAGGTTTAATCTCCATTTTCCTAACAAAACTCTATTACTTCATGAAATGATAACAACAACAACAACAACAACAACAACAACAACAACAATAATGCACTTCATTTATATCCCGCTTTATCTCCCCAGAGGGATTCAGAGCGGACTACAATACACATATACCGCCATGAGTCGCCCCCGGGCTGAGAATGGCAGTATAGAAATACAGTAAATAAATAAATATATATAGGCAAACATTCAATGCCTTTTTACACAACAAATGATACTATTCTAAAAAGTGTGTAACTAACATGACATGTGTGAAAAGCTCTGCTCTAAGAGGTAGAAGATAAAAACAGGAAAAGTAGCCACTAACAGAAAATTTAGGAGATATGTTTCAAAAAATGGACATACACATGCACAAATATGATAAGGAGATTCCTCTATTCAAGGCTTAGTCTTTGGTACTTTCAAGAGGTAGAGCTCACAGAGAAATCCATTATTATTAGTATTATTAGTATTATTATTATTATTAATGTATACCTTGCTTTATCTCTATCGAAGGGGACTCAACATAATAGCATTAGTACACAGTTTAAAATTATTCTCTTCTAATGGGTATAATATGCAGACCTTCTAAGCAACAGATCTATGGCTCATGAATGTTATTCTACATCAAAGGGAAGACACTCCATCACAACAACAAAGGAGCTCACGTACCTTGCAATGACTTCACATAAAGTAATCTTTGACTTGCACGTGTATTTGTGTATGTATATACATGTGCATGTATGCATCTTTATGTATGCAAAATTTAAAAAGAAAGTGGATGAATCAGAGTTAATACAGGTATAGCAGGAATGGTGCAGGTGTGCCAGATGAAGAAGGATTGCTCTCCTCCTTTTTTAACAGGAGGATAAATGAAAGTGGGTGGGACACTAGCCTTGCCTTGGAAACCAGTTGCCCAATATGAGAATGTTGCCAAATTTCCAAAAGAGCAAGGACTAAAAAGTGAAATGGGACAACAATTGTAGAGAGGAGTGAAAACTGAGAGGTGCATATGGTTCTCCTTCCTGTTTGCTGACTAACCACTTCTTCTTCCCACCCACTTCGTCTACATACAGCCTGGATACTGCAATAGCCCAGCTTACTTGTCCGAACGTATCTCCCCTTACGCCCCACCTCGAAATTTACGATCTTCCGGGGAGGCCCTGCTCTCGATCCCATCTTCGTTGCAAATGCGCTTGATGGGGACGAGGGACAGGGTCTTCTCAGCGGTGCCCCCCCGCCTATTGAACTCGTTACCCAGTGAAATTAGGTCAACTACCATTTGGGTAAGTATTCAGATAGCAGGTTGACAATAAAAATGATGACAATGCAATGGAAAACCCACTGTGGACTAGCTTGGATTAAAAGTTGTTGATTGTTGAACTTGGACTATCTGTACTATTTTAATGGTTTTTAATCTAATTTATTGTTTACTTATTATGTAACTGTTGTTTTATCTGTTGTATATTTGGGGCATTAAATTGTTGTGGGCTGTAAGCCGCCCTGAGTCCCCCTTCAGGGGTAGGGAAGGGTGGGGTACAAATATCTGAAATAAATACAAATGCCTCTGTCACTAAAATACCATATTTCATCGCATAATGGTTGCTACTGCATAATATCAGTTTTGGTATTTTTTTATTTTCTTCACATAATAGTCTCCTGTAGCTTCAAAGAGTAGGCAGTAGGTGGGTGAAGGCGCAAGAGTTAGGTGGTTTTTCTCAGCTGCCACCAGACAAAAGAAGCCTCATACTCTGAGTAGCAGGTGTGTAGATGCACCCACCTGCACTCCTTCCAGAGTGAGATCGGAAGCCTCCTTTGGCTATCAGTAGCTTTGTAGCTTTGACTGACAGTCACATGGGTGGGTGAAGGCTCACCCGCTTACGTACCTGCCAACCAGAGATATGGGGCCTCCCCAGCTGGCAGCCAAGGGCGGCCCTATAGCTCTTGCAAGCAAAGCAGCTGAAGGACGCCTGGTAGGCCTTGCTTGTCCATGCATACCAGTGGGTAGAGCTACATGGTCTCCCTTTCTTCTAGACAGGGGAGGCCGCATAGGCGTCCCAAAATTCCCTGCATAATAGTTGCACCCCATTTTTGAAGGGGAAAGGGGGGGGGAAGAGTATGACTATTATGGAGTGACATACAGTATTATTATTATTATTATTATTATTATACATTTATACCCCACCCTTCTCACCCCAGGGGGGGACTCAGTGTGGCTTATAATCCATGGCATACATTGCCGCATTACATAAATAATAATAATAATAATAATAATAATAATAATAATAATAATAATAATCAGTAGCTCTGAAGAGAGGGCTGTCAGATATGGAGATTCCCATATTTTTTGTTTATTTATTTATTTTGCACTAAAGCAAGCACAAATAGTCCCAGCCTAGACTGGAACCATTCCACATGGGTCTGGGTATTTAATACTGCTTCATTTGGATTTTACTTATTTCTTCCCCATTGACAAGGCTAAGAAAACACCTACTGGCACCAAGTGGAGGATTTTCCCATTCTTTATCCTCTGAGGAGTGAAAGAATTTGAAATAAAAAGACAGGTGGAGATATCACACTTTCCTGCCCATATCAAACCATTCAGCTCTATCTAGACTGGTGTTAAAATAAAGGAGAGAAATCTGTTTTAAAAACATATATGGATTTGGCATACTCAATACAGTGTCCAGTTTAACCCAAGGTTTGGTTAAATATTACACTGTGTCGAATCTGAAAACCTTCCTCACTAACAGATACAGAAAACTGGGAACGTAAGAGGTGTGTACACAATGAAGAGAGAGCCAATAGCTATCACCATCTGTCCTCAGTACCTCCTGCTATTTTCTAAACTATTTTAAGAGCCAGCATTCCCTGATCCTCTTCTCCCCAGCTTTTTAGGAAGTTTGCCTACCAAGAAAAACATGAGGCTCGAAAAGAAAGCAAGACCTTTTCCTGCTTATGTGTCTGTTTGTCTCTGAGTATTAGCAAACACAAGCTCTTCTATCATGTGGCTGTCAACATATGAGAGTAGTGCAGAACTATGCAGCTGGATTCATACTTTTTTTGCCACGTATTAATATATTTGGTATGCAAAGACCACATGGGTTTCTGACTTAATTGCCTAGAATTTAAGATCTAAAGGCAGAAATTCCAGCTTAGCCTGTCCAGAAAGAATGAAGGAAGAGTTTGTGCAAGCATACATTACCCCATTGTTTGTAAAATCCAAACTGACATTTGTTGAGGATACTGTATGCAAAGAGAGATTATTCTAGCCACTCTTGCATAAGAAACTGGAAAAATCAGTAAGACTTCCTTTTGACCAGAGATAGGAGGTGCCAGTCAGCAGAAAAGAGTGCCCAGGTTTCCTCCTCAAGAATGGCCATCCATTGGGAATGATTGATTGTGGCGAGGGGTTAGACTGGATTGCCTAGTGGTCTTTTCCAACTCTCTGATTCTAATATTGTTCCCATTTATTTCACTTGATTTCTGAACTCCTCAATAAAAGAGACTGCTAACTTTAAATCTGATTGAAGCTTATCTCATTTTAGGCATCAATACTTACAGAAACATTCTATATACTTGGGGAGCTATCTGGCTATACTGATATTTGGATTTCAATTCCCAAAAGTCGCAGTCAATACAGCAAAGAGAAAGAGGCCATTAGAGCTGTACTCCATTCACCTGGAATGCAAAAGGTTCCCCCTACCTGAAGTATATCCCTAACATGTATTACCATGGGACATACGAGGGGTATTTTTTAAGTAAGGTCCGTTTTGTTGTAGACACTAGTAGTTCGTGCGCATACTGCAACGAGCGCGTTCGTCGTGTACCGGCATGCCTCAGGAACAAATGTGCTCAGTTTCCGCTCTGTAGCTAACCTGTACGGTTCTGTTCTGTGCTTTAAAAATGTTTAAGACTATCAACTTACCCTCCGCATGTGAGGTTCGCTCAGTGATACAATTTTTGTCAGCAAGGAACCTGCCTGCTGCAGAAATTCATCGACAGATTTGTGAAGTGTACGGTGATACTGTTATGTTTGAAAGCAAAGTGCGTAAGTGGGTACGACAATTCAAAGATGGCCGTGACAACGTCCATGATGAGGACCACTCCGGTCTCCCTTCTTTGATTACAGACTATTTGGTTATCGGAGCAGGCGGCAAGTTTTTACGAAGAGGGTATTTTAAAATTAGTTCAGAGGTATGATAAGTGTTTGAACAAACTTGGCAACTATGTCGAAAAATAGAGTGAAGTATGTACTTTCTGAAAATAAATTTACTTTTTTGAAATAAACTTTCGTTGTATACTTATGTTCCAATGGACCTTACTTAAAAAAATACCCCTCGTATTTTCTGCAATGGGACATAAAAGATCTGGGGGTTAGTTCTGTCCCTCTGCTAGTATCATGTTCCTCCACGGTTTCATGGGAGTAATTTAGACCCTAGATTCTATCATATCTAATATTATTGTTTCCTAATATTATTGTTGCCTGCCATAGCAATGCCCTTAATTCCTGGGCCCCCTAGAATTTTTGGACTTGCACAAATCTTGGCCTGGCCTTTTAAAAAATTTTAATTGCCTTGAACAGGCAGGATTTTTTAAATATATGTGTCTTATGGCGAAAATTTTTATGCTTATATTTTGTTTTGTTAATCTTATGGTTATGTTGTTTTTTTACTTTGTATGTTTTGTGATGTTACCTGGGAACCGCTCTGAGTCCCCTCGGGGAGATGGAGCGGTATATAAATAAATAATAATAATAATAATAATTATTATTATTATTATTATTATTACTATTATTATATCACCGAATTTGCATTGAGTTACTATGTGAGGAATATCCATCATTGATAGCAAACAGGATAATAGTTCAGTGGGGTTGAAAGAGAATCTGATAAATTAATCTAGCCTCTTGAGAAACCATGACATTCTCCACCGTATGTATTTGATACACCCAATGTACCTGTCCGAACGCATCTCCCCCTATGAACCATTGTGAAGATTAAGATCCTCCAGGGAGGCCCTGCTTTCCGTCCTGCCATTGTCACAGGCACGATTGGTAGGGACGAAAGACAGGGCCTTCTCGGTGATTGCCTCTCGGCTATGGAACTCGCCTCCTGGTGAGATCGGATCAGCCCCCTCCCTCTTGTCTTTTAGAAGGATGGTAAAAACTTGGCTGTGGGACCAAGCTTTAGTGATAGGGCAATAAAGCAGCAATAGGAAAGATTACCAGGCCAATTAGATTTGACGCTGATGACTAGGATGGTTTTAAATGGTGTATTTTAATATTGAGATAAATGCTTTTAATGTTTATGTATGCGTATATGAATTTGTGTCCCGGCATTGAATGTTTGCCGTATATATGCTGTGCCTGAGTCCCCTTCGGGGTGAGAAGGGCAGAATATAAATGTTTTAAATAAATAAATATACAAAATGTGATTTTTTTTAAAAAAAAAATCTTAAGCTCTGTGAATGGCCTCTCTGAATGGCCTTCACTTCTCTCTTTGTGCATCTAAAATTTCCTATTTGACTCAGAAGGCAAGACAACTGACAAACCTGCTTTCATGACCATTTGTATCCGTTCATTAATAATTACCTCTCTTCCCAAAAAGGAATGCTCCTTCTCAAAGATCAGGGCCAGGTAGGTCACATCGTTTGCCTGAAAGAAGTCATGAAGTTGTGCCGCGCTGCAAAATAATATAGAGCATTATATATTGTTCTTAGTACAAAGTGAACATTTATTTTATGCATATTCAAAGCTGTCCAAATTCCACTTGTCTCAAGAGATTTATCTAGAAGCTGAACATTTCTTCCTGACAGCAGGGAACAAATCTGATCCTTTAACTGGACTGAATCTTTTTCACTCAAAAAATAGAAGGTAAAGGGGAATGGGAGGAAATAATAAAACACATGATGGATGCAATCAAAGCCTCAGTTGCCCTAGGCTGGAAGGACCACAAGAAATGGGATATAAAAACTTGGTATAAATATCTAGCTAACTACCTATACCAAGATTATATTAGTATATTTTATGATTCTGTGGATTTGTGATAGATTATAGCAGTGTTTCTCAACCTTTTAAATGGCGTGACCCCTTAATACAGTCCCCCATTTTGAGGTGACCCCCAACCATAAAATTATTTTCGTTGCTACTTCATAACTGTAATTTTGGCTACTATTTTGAATCATAGAATCATAGAGCTGGAATAGACCTTGTGAGCCATCCAGTCCAACCCCCTGCCAAGAAGCAGGAAAATTGCATTCAAAGCACCCCTGACAGATGGCCACCCAGCCTCTGTTTAAAATGTAAATATCTGATACTCAGAATGTATTTTCTTTCACCGGACCAAATTTGGCACAAATACCCGATACGTCCAAATTTGAATAATTGTGGAGTTGGGGGCAGGATTGATTTTATCATTTGGGATGTATAGTTGCTGGGATTCGTAGTTAACCTACAATCAAAGAGCATTCTGAACTCCACCAATGATGGAATTGAACCAAACTTGGCACACAGGACTCCCATGACCAACAGAAAATACTAGAAGGGTTTGGTGGGCATTGACCTTGAGTTTGGGAGTTGTAGTTCACCTACATCCAGAGAGCACTGTGGACTCAAACAATGATGGATCTGAACCAAACTTGGCACGAATACTCAATATGCCCAAATGTGAACACTGGTGGAGTTTGGGGAAAACAGACCTTGACATTTGGGAGTTGTAGTTGCTGGGATTTATAGTTCACTTACAATCAAAGAGCATTCTGAACCCCACAAATGATAGAATTGGGTCAAACCTCCCACACAGAACCCCGATGCCCAACAGAAAATATTGTGTTTTCTGATGGCCTTTGGTGACCCCTCTGACACCCCCTCACAACCCCCAGGTTGAGAAACACTGGATTATAGGAAAGCAAAGCTGTCACTCCATTCGAGTGGCCTTATTCTTACACTTAAGAGCATTGTAATGCTCAGAAATTTCGCAGCTAGAACTTTTCCCAGCGGAGATATCTCTAGTGGAAAAAGTTGCTGCATCTGTGTGTGGGAAGGAAGAACAATTAAAGATGATGGGAGCCATGGGTCCCTTAACAAAAACAGCACCTTTGTGCCAAATTCTCCACCTCCACAGTATATGTAACACTTTACCCACGTCATGAAATCATCACACTATGTGCAGAAACATACATAATGGAGGAAAGCTTATGTTATGATATGGAAGGCAAGGCAGAAAACATGACCAGGGCCACTGTTTATGGTGGTCATCTTTCTTTTGCCCTTCCATACAGTCATATAACCCACAATATCAAGGCAGAAAATCCCACAATATCAGATTGAACTGGGTTATCTGAGTCCACACTGCCATATATTCCAGTTCAAACAGATAATGTGGGAATTTCAGATTTCAGCTGTGAGGATGGGGCCTGAGTGATATAAATCAGGGGGTGTAAAGTGTGGAGAAGCAGTCCTGGTGGAGACATGGGACAGATTTACTCTTTTCATTCTTGAGAAGCAGCTTTGACAAGACTAGGGAGGAAAGTTTCAGTTTCAGTCTTATGCAACAATGGATAATTGTTTGGAGCCTCCCACATACCATCTCCATTTCCTTTACTAAGAAACCGGAAGACACAACTGATCCCTTCTCTCCTGAGATCAGGCAGCAAAGATAATTTAGACTTCCTAATCTTCTCCATGGAAGGTGGAGCTTAAATTGGGAGAGGATCACGAAGAAAATGCCTATAAGTTAAGGACTGTCAAATTTGCTCCTACTGAGTCAAAAGGATCATGGTAAAGAATGTGCAGAAGATAATTTTATGTATTGTGTAGGTCAGCACAAAGGCTGGAGCAAGAAGCCTTTATAAGCACCAGGTCTAATAATAATAATAATAATAATAATAATAATAATAATAATAATAATAAAAATAAAAATAACAACTTCTTTATTTTTATACCCCGCCAACCCCCCCCCCCCCCGGGGGGACTCCAGGTGGCTTACAAGGGACATGCCCAAAATTACAATTAAAACACACATGTTAAAAGAAAGGTATGATTTTTCAAGTTACACCACCCACCCTTTGTGCTAGTGATTTGGATCCCTTCATGTTACATATGAATGTCTCAATATAGTTTAAAGGTTGACTATCTGTTATTCAAAATGCTTGGGGCAAAAAGAATTTCAGATTCCTCAGAATGTGGAATATCTGTATTTGCATATGTGTAAATAATGAGATCTCTTGGAGATGGAACCCCTGTCTAAACAAGAAATGTATTTATATTTCATATATACCCTATACACAAAGCCTGAAGGCAATGTTATACAATATACTTAATATCTAGCCGTCCCCTGCCACGCGTTGCTGTGGCCCAGTCTGTATATATGTTTTGTGTGTGTGTATATGTGTGTATATCTATATCTATCTATCTATCTGTCTAAATATGCAAACACACATATATACACATATACACAAATATATAGACAGATGGATGGGAGTATATGTGTGTGCATTTGTGTATATATATGTGTGTATACGTGTGTATATATTTGTGTATTTCTGTGTTTATATGTGTATATATATAAATATTGTGTATATATGTGTGCTTGTGTATATATGTGTATATATGTCTATATGTATATGTGTGTATGTATGCATGTGTATATGTAAATATATGTGTATGTGTGCATGTATGTGTGCATGTCTATATGTATGTGCATATATGTGTGTATGTATGTATGCATGTGTATATGTATATGAGTGTATGTGTATATGTATATATAGTTTATTGGGGGGGGGTTAAGTCCATTCTGCTGGGTTTTTGTGTGTCTTTAGGGGTGATGGACACTGATTGGCCAAGTTTGGTGTCAATTCGTCCAGTGGTTTTTTAGTTATGTTAATCCCACAAACGAACATTACATTTTTATTTATATAGATTTTGTGCATGACATGAAGTGTGGGTACACTAAATCAGCAGAACACAAAGTGTCATCATCTCTGGCATCCATGTGAACAATGTTGGATCTTGGAGTACTTAGGCTTTAAGAATTCCAGATACGGGATGCTCAACCTATGTACAGGTACTCCAAAATCCATAATTATCCACATAGATGTCAGGGATAATGTACACAAAATTATTAAATATATTATATAAAATTACTTTCAGCCTATTAATATGTGTGTGTGTGTGTGTAATAAAATATATAAATGAATTGGGCATCATTTACATGGAATTCCAAAAACGGAAGCACTCCGCAAAGTACTCTGAAGGTACATTAAGGGGTGCTTTAAGATATGATAAAACAACGGCTATAGTCCAGCTGATTTAATATTCTTGCAGCTGGCCAAAACATCTAAGTACCAGGACTGTGGCGCAGCTGGCTTAGAGTCAGCTGCATTAAGATCACTACTGACTAAAATGTCATGAGTTCGAAGCCAGCCCACGTCGGAGTGAGCTTCCGACCAATTTGTGTAGCTTGCTGTCAACTTTTGCAGCCTGAAAGACAGTTGCATCTGTCCAGTAGGAAATTTAGGTACCGCTCAAGCAAGCATGCAAAGAATGAGGAAGTATTTCATCAGTGTCACAAATGGACGGTGAAGCAACAGCTCTCTTGGTGGCCAGAATATCCTCATGAAAAAAAGCTGGAATGTTAAATAGCCTCTGTGTGTCTGTCTATATATGTTGTGTGTCTATGGCATTGAATGTTTGCCATGTATATGTACATTATAATCCGCCCTGAGTCCCCTGCAGGGTGAGAAGGGCGGAATATAAATACTATAAATAAATAAATAAATAAATAAATAAATAAATAATCAAAACTAAGGTTTGAGATTTATGAACGGATAAGCCATCTGAAACTTTTACAGTTCTAGCCTATCACAGGTCAATTCCTCTAATCACTCTTTTCCTTTAAGGAAGTGAATGGAATATCACCTCACATTATCTGTGTATATAATTTCAGAACGGAGGGAGAAGCCACAAGTATGATTACACTCATTACCCAGTCAGAAGCCATTTCTTCCCAAGAGTCAGCCCTGACCAGTGTCCTAAATCTAATCTTGATTTATCAATTGAAAACCCCAAATCTGATTTATGAAGTTTTCATGGTCACTCTGTCCCTGGAGCTCCATCTTCTTGTGGATGATTATCTGCAAATGAAGCTACTAAGATTTTGAAGATCTGGTTCTAAATTGGCTGAAGTCTATAATCCAGTTGATGGCATCATCTGATTTCCTGTCACCTTGGTCAGCCTACTCATTGAAGAAGGAAAGATAATCAATCCAGGGGAATCTGCATGTGATCAGAAGAGGCATCTGCCAGGCAACCACAGGCAGGATTGTCCCAGTTTTCCTAAAGACAGAACAGCAAGCTGAACCCAGCTTCATTGAGAGTCTGTTTCTGGTATAAACATTAAAGATATTAAGTGCTTGGAAGCCATCAATAAAAGAAGGAAAAGAAGACATATGCCTTTCATTGGAACCTGTGCTTGATGGGGTTGCACTCCCCTGAAGTCACAGGTCCGCAGCTTGGGTGTCCTCCTAGATTCATCACTGCCGTTTGACGCCCAGGCGTCGGTGGTGGCTGGGAGGGCCTTCGCTCAATTAAAACTTGTGCGCCAGCTGCGACCATACCTCATGAAGTCGGATCTGGCCATGGTGGTCCACGCCTTAGTCACCTCCAGATTGGATTACTGTAATGCACTCTACGTGGGGCTGCCCTTGAAGATGGCTCAGAAATTTCAATTGGTCCAACGGGCAGCAGCCAGGTTACTAACTGCAGCAACTTACAGGGAGCAGTCAAACCCCCCTGTTTAAGGAGTTCTATTGGCTACCGTTCATTTTCCGATCCCAATTCAAGGTGCAGGTTCTTACCTACAAAGTTCCTGACCCGCCTACCTGCGTGACCGCATTTCTGTTTACGAACCCACGCAATCTATTCGATAATCTGGAGAGGTCCTGCTCTCGCTCCCGCCCCCTTCACAAGCGTGATTGGTAGGGACAAGGGAGAGGGCCTTCTCTATGGTGGCCCCCCAACTCTGGAACTCAGTCCCCAAGGATATCAGACAAGCCCCCACATTGGCAGTCTTTAGAAGGAGCCTGAAAACATAGCTGTTCCAGTGTGCCTTCCCTGAATAAAGGAAACAATGCCCTGCTCTGACCAATTCCCTGCAAAATATCCTCAGAAGCACTTGGGTTGGGCTCCCTACATTTCCTTTAAAACCCTCCTGCTTAGATACATCCTACTTCTGTTCATGCCCAGTGTTTATTTAAAAAAAAATTTATTACATCTGGCCCGGCCATAAGGTTTTAAATTTGTGTGTTATTGCTTATATGTGAGTTATATTAATTGTATTGTTTTATTTGCTTGCTGTTTTGTTTTTACTGATGTGTTGTTGGGCTTGGCCTCATGTTAGCTGCCCCGAGTCCCCTTGGGGAGATGGTGGCGGGGTATAAATAAAGATTATTATTATTATTAATGGATTGGTTATTTTGAAATTCTGAAGTGCAGGAACACTTAGGCTTCAGATCTAACCCTTTAAATCTCAAATGTCATTTGTTCTTAGTTAAACTGTCACATGGGATAGGTAATAATTTACATATCATCATCATCTTATTCTCTCCACAAAGGAGACTCAACTCGGCTTTCAGAAATATTAGAAGAAACACATGGACCAGGCATCTGGGGCTATTTTTCTGACATGGTTACGGTGTTAATGTGGTAAAATCTACACTCAAAAACAAAATAGTGAAATAAATTTTTGACTGAAGCTCTCAGCTGCCTTGAATCCCAGTTTGGGGAAAAGGTGGGATAAAATTAAATCAATCAATCCTCCAGCCAGCAGGGTCATTATATTTTTTAAAAAGGCCAATTTTCCATGTTCTTGTATTCCATGCCCTTGTATACCAAAACTTGTCTTATAGCTCATGTTACTACTCCATGCACTTTATTCTCATTGTGATTGGGCCTAAAGCAAAGGGGTTGAAAATTAGGAGCTTCATTCTAGATTTTAATCAGACATAATTTGACACCGGGATTGATTGATTCTTTCTTTCACTAAATTACAAATTCCAACCGACATAAAAATGTCAAACTTGATATTAAAATGTCAAAATCATCTTCCATTATGTCTTTTACTAATACTAGGCTAACATCATTGTTATTAATTCTATTTCTAATAAATATTCTTTTGTAATACATTTTACGGAGTCTAATAACAAGAACAAAATTTAGAGAAATAAATATTTTATAGCATACTTTCAGTTTCTGGGCCTAAATCCAACTGTTTCTTTAAACTAGAACAGACCCATTAAATCAACGGCTAAATGGTCGATTTAAGCAAACCCAAATTTATTCCATGGTTCTAGTTTAGTCAGCACCAGCAAATGGATTTGGGTCACCAAGTTTATTAAAAACTAGCCATCCCCTGCCAGGCGTTGCTGTGGCCCTGTCTGGTGATCTAGAAAATAAAGTAATGAGAAAGTGTTGGTTTCTAATATATGTAATTTCTTTATGCTTGTGGATAAACAGTATTTCTTGTTTCTTTGTCAGGGTTGATGTCTGGTTTGCCTATTCTGGAAAATGCAACATTTAATTGTCCTTCTTTAGGGGTCCCTTTCAGATCTATGATACTGTATCTGTCAAATACGTGTGTGTATGTGTGTGAATCATATATATCTATCTATATCAAGGGCTGGATGGCTCTTTGTCAGGAGAGTTTGATTATGTTTTCTTGCCCTGATGAAGTGAGTTGGACTGGATGGCTTTTTAGGCAACATTTCTCAACCTGGGGGTCGGGACCTCTGGGGGGGGGGTCGCAAGGGGGTATCAGAGGGGTCAGCAAAGACCACCAGAAAACACAGTATTTTCTGTTGGTCAAGGGGGTTCTGTGTGGAAATTTTGGTCCAATTCTATCATTGATGAGATTCAGAATGCTCTTTAATTGTAGGTGAACTTTAAAACCCAGCAACTACATCTCCCAAATGTCACAGTCTATTTCTCCAAACTCCTCCAGTGTTCACATTTTGACATATTGAGTATCCATGCCAAGTTTGGTCTAGATCCTTGATTGTTTGAGTCCACAGTGCTCTCTTGGTGTAGGTAAACTATAACCCCAAAACTCAAGGTCAGTGCCCACCAAACCCTTCCAGTATTTTCTGTTAGTCATGGGAGTCCTGTGTGCCAAGTTTGGTTCAATTCCTTCATTGGTGGAGTTCAGAATGCTCTTTTGGTGAACTATAAGTCCCAGAAACTATAACTCCCAAATGACAAAATCAATTTTTTGAGTGATGGTCACTCATTGGATTGTTAGGTGTATTCTGTCCAAATTTGGTGTCAATTCGTCCAGTGGTTTTTGAGTTATGTTAATCCCACAAACAAACACTGCATTTTTATTTCTATAGATTTGACCTCCTTAAGATCATCCCAACAAGGATTCTTTTTGAAACCAAGATTTTCATTTTTGGGTGAAAAATGTGGGGAATGGTAGAGTTTCCAGTACAAGCCCTATTATTCCCATTCTGTTGAGGCCTTGATTGGGGAGGTTACTGGCCTGATTTTGTTCAATGATATGGGAATAGCAATAGGGATCTACTCACAGGATGAGTAGATTCACACAGAATAACACAGATAAAGCATTTCACAAAGATAGCACACATGAAGCACTTTACATGTTCTAAAGTGTTGTATAAATGCAAAATTTGTCATTATGGGGTAACATGCTCAGGAAGGCATACTAATGACTGCCCCTACAGAGCAAAGCACAGGTTCATTTTGACTCACAGTAGTTGGGTGTGTTTAAAATATAGGAAAGAAACCAGTCTATAAAATTTAAGTAAAATTAAATTAAAATAATTTACAATGGAAACATTCCCTCGCCAATTAATCTTTCAGCATGAGTATAAATGTGCATGTATTTGAACACATGCAACCCAAAAGGGTCAATTTTATTTTGCGCTCAACTTCTAAGTTACCTGATTGGCTCCAGAGGTGGGCATGAAGGAGGCCACGTATCTTCATGCCTTTCTAATGAGGTGATTACGGATTCTCTGAGGCTCTGAATGTCATCTCCATGATCTGTGCAGAAAAGAAAGCTTATCGTAATTAATTCAAGAGCTTAAATTGCTTTTCCACATGCCATTTCTGATGTATGAATAAGAAGAAAACTTTCCAATTGCCGTTCTGCTATACCAGATCCCAAAGGATCATTAGCCTCAAAGTGTAAAGCTTCAAAGAACCCTCCTCGTGTGCAAGCAGATTGGTCCACTGTCTGTACAGAAGTCTGAATGTGTGGAAGAGATACCACAAATGCACACCGGGATTGTGGCGCAGCTGGCTGAGTGTCAGCTGCATTAAGATCACTCTGACCAAAAGGTCATGAGTTCGAAGCCAGCCAGAGTGGGTTTCCAACCAAGTGTGTAGCTTGTTGTCGACCTTTGCAACCCGAAAGACAGTTGCATCTGTCAAGTAGGAAAATTAGGTACCACCTTAAAGTGTGGGGAGGCTAAATTAACTAATTTATGAGGCCATAAAAAAGACTCCAGCAAAGCACTCTGGCGAGGAAGCATGCGGGGAATGCGGAAGTACTTCATCAGTGTCGCAGATGGACGATGAAAGCGACAGCTCCCCTGGCGGCCAGAAAAAGTTAAATAGCCTCTGTGTATGACTGTATATGTTGTATGTTAAAATTGGCATTGAATGTTTGCCATATATGTGTACACTGTGATCCGCCCTGAGTCCCCTGCGGGGTGAGAAGGGCGGAATATAAATACTGTAAATAAATAAATTGTTGCGCTAAGCGTATTTCAATCAAGTCCAATGCTGAAGACACAATAACATTACACCCAGGCAAGAGGAAAAAGAACAGAAAAACTTTACTCTTATCAGCAGGGTTAAAACGTAAACTTGCAAACAGTGCAATGAACTTACATAGTCTTTGTAAGCAATACAGAATAAGGCTTCTTCATCTCCATCCAAATGAGAGAGCAGTAGAAATGGTTGAGCAAAATGCCTGAGCAAAGGCTCCTCAGAGCAAAAGCTAAACTGTATTCTAAAAACCATACAGTTATACCCCACCAGGTGTGGTCCAAAATTACTAGTTGACCTACATTAGCAGCTGCACATAATGATCAACAGCATAAGGTTTTCTTTAACACACAAACATACTTGATCCTGTTACGACTTGGCTTCAAACTACAAGAAAGGAGATTCCATCTGAACATGAGGAAGAACTTCCTGACTGTGAGAATCGTTCAGCAGTGGAACTCTCTGCCCCGGAGTGTGGTGGAGGCTCCTTCTTTGGAAGCTTTTAAACAGAGGCTGGATGGCCATCTGTCAGGGGTGATTTGAATGCAATATTCTTGCTTCTAAGCAGGGGGTTGGACTGGATGGCCCATGAGGTCTCTTCCAACTGTTTGATTCTTTGATTCTATGACTTACTGTAACATGTTGCACTACATATTAGGCTTTATCACAGGCTACATACATTCAGTCTTCTTTTGCTGCTGATATAAATATTGAATTGGAAGGGCAAGAACTCAGCACCTCTGCCCTCTTGCTCAGCAGTTAGCAAATTGGGGGTCCCCAGCTCTTACTGGAGTTCAGCTCCCAAAGGCCCAAGCAGGTTGCCCAATGGTCAGGCATTCTAAGAGCTGCAGTCCAACAACAATTGAGGACCCAAGTTTGGTCATCAGTGGCTATGCTGGGACTCTGGAAGACAAAGTCCAACAAGGTAACTTTTCTAGCTCTTGCATTTTAACAGCACCAGTTCCAAAGTAGGGATGCAAAGAATACACTCAATGCTTTCATCATTCACAAGAAAGCATGGCCTAATTGGCCAGTGGAGCAGGAAAGGACTTTGGCAAAGAAACAACAATATCTGCAGATATTGCACAGGGGTCCTCAAACTTTTTAAACAGAGGGCCAGGTCACAGTACCTCAAACTGTTGGAGGGCCAGATTATAATTTGAAGGGGGAAAAAATAATGAATTCCTATGCACACTGCACCTATCTTATTTGTAGTGCAAAAACCACTTAAAAACAATATAATTAAAATGAGGAACAATTTTAACAAATATAAACTTATTCATTTTTTCAATGGGAAGTGTGGACCTGCTTTTGGCTGATGAGATAGCATTGTTGTTGTTGTTGTGTGCTTTCAAGTCGTTTCAGACTTAAGTTGACCCTGAGCAAGGGCCGGGTAAATGACCTTGGAGGGCCGTATCCGGTCCTCGGGCCTTAGGTTGAGGACCCCTGCTTTTGCATATTCACAGCCCCATGTCAGTACAGATCATACTGTGGGAAGAGGAAGGTAGATGTAAGTCTCTTCCAATTGCCCACAGACTCAGGAGAGATACACATTTAGACAGCATTGTGTGACATGAAATGTAAAGGGAAAGTGCCTCTGTTCTGTGTACTTATGCACGTGTGAGTTCAAGAGCTTATGTGTGTTGGACTGTAGGGGTGGGAGAATGTTTGCATGCATGTGCACACCAGACAACATTGTGATCCAGTGACAAAAAAAGTGTGTTTCCTGCAGTAATTAACTTCTAAATTTTTTTACCCATTTTAAGCTTTGCCCCCATGTTTCAATTTCTGGTATTTTTGAACAAAAATCTATGAATGTCAAATATAAATATCATCACCCCAAATTAAGAAATGGTTCTGGCCCAGCTTATCTGTCCGAACGCATCTCTCCCTATGAACCATCTAGGTCTCCAAGATCGTCTGGGGAGGCCCTGCTCTCGGTCCCGCCTCCTTCGCAGATGCGACTGGAGGGAACAAGAGATAGGGCCTTCTCAGCGGTGGCCCCTCAGCTATGGAACGTCCTCCCTAGGGATATCAGATCAGCCCCCTCCTTCCTAACATTTTGAAAAGGAGTTAAAACCTGGCTTTTTGAGCAAGCATTTGCAGATGCAGTGTAACAGGCTAATTTAAATCCACAGAATGATTGGATGGTGGGACTGGGAAATGATTTTAGTAATGAGACATTGAGGAGTTATGTTTATTGTTTTTATTGTCTCTATTGTTTTTATATGGTTTATATTATATGTTGATGTTTTAATTATATTTTATGTTGTTGGGGGCATTGAATATTGCCAATTGTAAACTGCCCTGAATCGCCTCCGGACTGAGAAAGGTGGTATATAAATATGGTAAATAATAAATAATAAGACTGTGAATTGGCCACTTGCTGCAGATTGTGAGAGTCAAGGTAAGCTGAATTAATTTTGTATTGTCGAAGGCTTTCAG